TAATAACAATATTCATAGGGACGGATGCCGAAAAAGTATATGACATTATAACTTGTAATATTTGTATAATAACAGTACCTAAGCGATTTAAATGCGAGAATATGGTTCACGGACAGTTCGGCGACAGTTATGCATATGCCACTGCGATCTCTTAATATTGTTTCAAATCAGAAATATATTACTGTTATAGGTCTGCGAGTACTTTTCAAAATTTAAATTCAGTGTTCTATTGCAGAAAGTAGAAAAAATAGGTAATGCGAAGAAGTAATGAGAAAATACGATTAATAAAGTGAATAGGCAAACGAAATAACATTTAATCGACAAATACGTTTAAAAACATATTTTTGGAAACCTTAACGCTGTATGGAGACGAAAGTTAAAGAATAACAATAAAGAATACTCGATATATAATAGACGGATTTAGTGACTAACAAAGAATTTTTGGAAAGAATATCAGATATAAGTGGAAAATTATCAGAGGAGAAATTAACAAATTAGACATGAGACATTATTGTATTGAGACATGGTGGGTCGCTTGAATTCATTTTAGAATAGTGTATGGGAGGTAGAAATTAAATGAGGAAGACCACGGTTGGAATTGTAACAAATAGTAGTGATGAACCGAGAATGCGGAAGTTCGATGTTTATAGTGGGTGATATATCATCCCTAGAGACTCTTTTTTTTTTAATTGTTTGATTCTATATTTTCCTATACGCAGGTTCTCAAGAGTATTTGACATCCTTCTATATTATATATTTCCACTATTAGATAAAAGTAAATCAAGAAGATTACTGGTTGACAGATAACCTTTGAAAATAAAAAAATCTACCAAAAAGGCATTATTCATAAGTAGTGTACCCACTGCTGCAACAGACGGTAGCAAATTATTTTGTTATCATACCATTTACCGCAGTATTAAGAAAGTACCTATACTTAATAAACAATATTTGGAGAACTAAACGTAAATATAAGAAAACGAACTGGAGGAGGGAAGGTAGAAATCCCTTGATACCTTGTTTTTTTTTATTTCACCATCCCCCAAAAAAGGAAATTTTAAATATGTCCAGATGCCTTAATGTGATTTGTACGTAAAAACTAAGATGAGGACAATTAACAGGGAAGAATGGAAGATTAATGCAAACTAATTTTAGAATTGATTACAGAAAAGAAAAAGAACTAATATAAACCTTGGTGTTACTGGAAACGTAGGACGGGCGAACTTGGTTGACGGGCAGTGACAGATCCAGAGGAGCAAAGGACATAATCGCTCCTCCGTTCACTCTACAATATATTCTTAACTTGATTTATCATTGAGCTCATTATAAATCTATGCCTTGCATGTATTTTCAAAATAGCCCGCCCCCTCCCGTTATCTGGTCTTATATCGGCTCTTTTCGGATGGATCGATAACCGTTCGCGGCCTACATAGAAAATGATCGCCAAATGTTCGAAAATAAAAGCAGGAAAAACAATACGTAGTGCAATAAATATATTATGTTTAACACTGGAATTATTTCATTTAACGCTTCGTCGAATCCACAGTCGTATATTATTATTATTACATTTCATACTTTCGTTGAAATTGATTCCCAAAAGGAAAACGTTGCTCATATAGTATGGTACGGTCTCGCCCAAAGGTATTTCCGTTCGAAAGGGAGTGCAAACAAACTTTGTATTTTTCATCGGCCCGGGCCACACAGGAATTACGACAACAAGATCGAAATCGCTATAATATTATAGCAATTTTGTTATTATTAAAGAATATACACCGCGAAATTCGAGGGCATTCAGAAACAATGTGGGGGAAATTATTCAATAATATTATTCACAACGATTATATAATATGTACATTGTATATACATAATATTATCATTAAATTACGGGCTGAAATTAAATTTAGTGAAATCTATCGAAGTAATTCTCAACAATGAGATCAACATATAACCCTGAAATCAATTCTTTTAGTAATAATGCTCTTCAAAAGTGTTCCACTTTTTAAGTAGGCACTAAAATAAAAAAATTGCACTTTGCATCGAACACCGAGCTCTAACAATCATTATTTAATACTGTTATAATTATCGTACTTTCAAACGAAATTCTATCTCTTTTGGTTATATTAATGAATAACAACGGGAAAAAATCGAATCAGATTATTTCCAAAACATTTTAAATACCTATAAGGTCCTAAATGCCTAGTTAGTTAGATCAATTTATTAGGTCGCACATTATTTCTGTATAAAAACGTTTTTCATGAGTTATCATCAATGTAATAACCTAATAAACAATTTGTTGGTGATGGAACGGCTGTAGATTAACGGACTTTACTATGCTAATGTATTCCGTGCAAATAAATATCCTATGCAATTATACAAGCAGTGCCAACCTTGTGTTTATCATCGGATTCTTAGACTATTCTTAGAAAATATAAGAATATTATGCAATAATATATCCTGTAATGACAATAACAACAATGAAAATCATAACAAGGGAATAAAAGGTTCATTAAAACATAAAGATTGACCGAGAAGACTCGAATTGGATTTAAAACTAGATATTAACAATGCAAATTTTAAAAAGACGTACTAGGATAATGGGGATGGGTGCAGCCACAGTTATAGGTAACTTAATATGTACCTGTAAGCAACGATAAACCATTGCCCACGAAAAAACGTTTCTCAGCGGAGTTCAGTTTATAGTGATGCTTTAGCAACAATATATATGTTATTTTATAGTAAAACAATTAAATAGGCAGTATATATTTTCTTTAATAATATTTGATTAATTTATCGATTTTCCCGATTTCCTGCGTTTTTCCCGGTAAAATCTACACAATACAATAGTAGAATTATATATTAGTAATTAATTTTTCCAATCATCATCACAATGACGTAAATCATTGATCGATAAATGTCGTTTAACTCGTGATAAACTTAAGTTACATTTTTATCAACAGATCAAATTTAAAACGTGGTTTATGCAGCAGAATTAATTTTAAATCCAGATAAATGAGTTTTTCTCTTTGGATATATTCGATGTAATCCGACATTAGTATTATTTAATAATAACATTGATGAATCGTATAACAAGGGAATAAAAGAATTATTAAAATAGACAATTTGGTCGAAAATACTATAAATAAAAGTTGGTCCGAGTACTCAACTTGACGATTTTTTTTTCGGTACTTTTAAACTCATAATGAATACGATTAAGTTTCGTTTCTGGTTTAATTTTCATGATGCCGTTACGTGCAACTAACCTAACCGACAACTCGAGAAACGGATCCGCTGATTTTTACAAGTCATGCTTATATGATTTTATATCATATTCAATATTATTATTTATCGTTTTATCATATTATATTAGATTGCAGATCGTATACAATATTTATTTATGTTACTATAACAAATAATTTCTTGATAGTCGCAATGATTACGGTAATTGTATATATTTTATAATGCGTATATCTGATAACGGTAACCTGTGGAAGCACCAGACGCTGTTGGATATTTTTATCAATAAACAACTTTGTGGACCATTTTGAAAATGATAAAGTTTGTTTTTGACACTGTTGTTTTGTCAATGATTCCATGGGGGACGTGTGAAGCCCCTTCTCACATATTGTATTATAATAAAATTAAAATACCTCCATTAAAAAATCTTGGCGTATTGTTTGTACAATGCGTTATCAAAAGGTTTAAAAGGCCACAAATCATCTGTATACATTATGTTCGTAAAATTAGCACAGATTCAGCAACTTGTTTACGAAATAAAAATAAGTTAGGATAGCAAAATCTAAAATCCCCAAGCAAAATCTGAAAAATTCTGAGTAAAATATCTTCTTTTTAATGTCAAAAAAATTCGGGTATCCGCAGTTAATTTATAAAATATCAATAAAAATACGAATTAATAATGCTACAAAATTTCCTAAGAAATTCTCACGCATCAAAAAAATTTACTCGACTTTTGTCCACCAAAAGTAATGCCTATCAAAAACCATTTCAAAACGTGTATAATTGGACTTCGCTCAAAATCGTTTTACGTTAACAATGGTTTATCGTTTTGTACAGATTTAAATTAAACTACTCGCTGTGTATTTTAATACTTCAATTTTCTATTAAAAACAGTTGCACATCCATCAACAATATCAGCTATTTTATTAAATTTAAATTAATTTTCAGTGGTCCACTGGCAACCAATTTAACAGCACTTGTTCGGTTTTTTCCGTAATAATGTATTTATAATTTTTATTGTATCTTTATTTTAATACCTACGTATACTTATACAGTATAATAGTTTTCATTTAGCTGAAAGGCAACGGCAGCTAGTGTGTTTAACCGCGAACAAAGTTGGCTGCAGTCATTTGCATTACAATATTACATACTTCAACGCCCGAAATTTATATTATTTTAGTTTTAATGTTATAATAATATACATTTACTTGAGATTTTTTTTTTACGGAAGAAACAATTACTTTTCGTCAACGTCAAAATGCGCAAATAATTCGATTAATGTTTTGTGAAAAATGTAAAACAAAAATAATAATATTATTATATTAATATATCGATTCATGAGAAATTAATAATATATAAGTTGAAACCGATAGTAATATTGTTATTATTAGGCTGGGATTTTAATGCCCTAAAAAATCTCAAAAATATTCTTAAAAAAATGCAAAAATGACTGAAAATGTTTGAAAACAAACAAAATATGTGGCAGGTATTTGTGTACTTCAAAAAGGCTTATGACAGCATTCATCGGATAAGCCTTTATAATATAATGTACGAATTTGGAATTTCTAAGTAAGCTCATTTTCCTGACAAAAGTGTGCACGAATGGCACAAAATACCAAGTAAGAATTGACAACGTATTATCCGAAGAATTCCAAGTGGTAACAGGCTTAAAGCAAAGTGACACTCTTTCACCACTACTGTTCAATATTGCACTGGAGAAAGTTTTACAGAGTATACAAAGAGATAACTGTGATATCGACGTTAGTACAATGAAGATTAGTATTTTAGGTTTTGCTGATGATTTGAATATAGTTGGTGACAATGTAGAGAATGTGGCACAGAGCACCACAGCTCTCATTAGCGAAGCAAAAACCATAGGGCTGAATTTAAATGATAATAAAACCAAAGTGATGGAGCTACTACCAGACAACAACCAGGTTGACAATGTAGTGGTTCAAGAGCATACATTTGAAAAAGTACACCAATTTACATATCCGGAGGCCTCTATCAGTAGTAATAATGATTGGTCCATCGAATTAAATAGTCGAATCATTAAGGCAGAAAAGGCATAATTTTCGGTAACTAAATACATAAAATCTAAACTGTTTCTTGAAGAACCAAAGCACTTCTCTAAGCTGCGATAATTAGACCAACATTAACATAGGGATGTGAGGTATAGCCTTTAACTAGCAGAATGGAACGAAAACTTATGTCATTCGAAAACAAAATATTGAGAACTACTGGCGCAGAAGAAGGAATAAAGAGATCCGGGATTAACGGGGGTTCCAAGGATAACCAACTTTGTGAAAGCTCAAATAACGAAACAGTTTGGACACGTGATGAGAAGGCCCAACTCAGAATGTCTTAAAGCTGCGGTAGAGTGAAAATCCAAAGGGAAGACACCAAAGAAGCGATGGATAGATAGAATAAAACAAGACTTAGAGAAACTAGAGATACCGGATTGGGAAGAAAAAGTACAAAATAGAGAAGAATGAAGGGAGGTTTCGGTTGCGGTAAAAACTCTTGAAGAGTTGTGATGCCAATGTAGTATCTACCTATATATACGTACTACATGTGCGGTCCGAGTGAGCTATTTAAATTATTATACGTGGAGTGGTGACAAAAAAAAAAAGAGTTTATCTCGCATATAAAACGTATTGTTAAAAAAAAAAAAATAATAACATAAAAAAAACACCGTTCAGCAGGTTAAACGTGACGTCTGCGCTTGGCGTTAATTTATCGACGGCTGCGCCGGACCGAACGAAAACGTACGCGAATCGTGTTTATCGCACATCAGCGTGTTAGTGCAATGGGGGCGGCATAAAAATATTCGGTCAGTTTTTTCCGTTATTATTTCTACACAACACAATATCGTAATAATGGTAGCTCTGGCCATCACGGCGAGAAAAAGTCCGCTTATAATGAAGCAATAACATTTTATGGCAAATATCTCGTTTTGCAAAGCCATTCAATATATAGGTCGATCAATTCTCAATAAGATTTTTTCGAACAATTTTTGAAAAAAATAAGCTCTAAAGTAATTTTAGTAATTATTATTTTTAGTAATTTATTCAGTTGAATAAAACAGGCCGAAGACCAATATTACAGACAGTTAATAAGTAATTTAAATATCTTCAATAAAATTTACATAAGAATCTAAGAACAAAAAAAATTAGGATTGAAATTGTCAGGCATACTCAGTATTACATAAAAATTATAAACGTTTTTCATGTAAGCATACCATTAGAGATGAGAAAAAAAAACAACTATCGTCGATAGTTTATTACATAGAGCCATAGATTACCTAGGAATAGGGGAGTTTTTTTTTAAAATAGTTTGTAGTGTGCACTGGTATATAAAACATTGATGTGGAATACGTTTTATAAGAAAAAAGCGTCCGCATTGGCGGTGCCTATGAGACGAGGAATAGGAGAGTGATATATTACCGTTATTTTTATCACAATTTTTTGAGAAGAAAAGGGAGTGTAAAACCACTGCACACTACACTATTTTCAAGTACAGTAGAACTTCCGCTAACGGTCACCTCTAAAAGACGGTCACCTCTATGTCACGGTTATTTTTTTTGGTCCCGTCAAGTATTATGTCTTTATAAAACACCTCTTAATGACGATCACCTCTAAATAATGGTCATTATTTCCAGTCCCTTATGTGACCGTTACATGGAAGTTTTATTGTAGCTACCTATACACTTAAAAACAGAAACTCGTAAATACGGAAATTTGTTTGGTTTAAATGTATTTTGGTGTTGAAATTGTTAATTTCGGTCAACCCACTGATGTGATATTCTAGTTTGAGAATGGAAAGGATAGTGGAAGACCAATGTGACGTTGTCAGAAGATTATAATGCCGAGAGATAACATACCTCACCGCCAGTAAGATTATCCTAGGTTTACCACACTTCCAATAACAAAATCTAAGGATATATTTTATACAAAGGATATTGTCCTTAGATATCCTATATCCTATATGCTATATATATCGTATATATTATGTATATTATTCATCCTAAAAATATTCACCAGCAAAAATAAGGGTGAAAAAAAAAATCTGGTTGTATCGTTTTAGAGATTACTGTTTCTTAAATTGTCCAACAAAAAAATTGCTAAAAAAGTTAATTTTTTTAGACATTTTTAGAAATTTTTTTAGAAATTAGTATTGTCAAAAATATCAGAAAAATTATATTTACAAAGGTGTTTATGGCTGGACCAAGATATCATGTGAAAAAGTTATTTAATCGCAAAAAAAAAAAATTCATCATAGTTAAACCAATCTAAAAAAGACTGACTTATAATACATATACTTAGCACGATGGGTGCAGCCACTGTGGTTGGAGGAAGTGGGGAAGGTAGGATACAGAAGGTAATTTAATGTATATCTGTAAGCAATAATAAACCATTGCTTACGAAAAAATGATTTTGAGCGGAGTTTAATTCATAATGATGCTTTGTCAACAATATATACGTCATATTCTGGTGAAATAATAAAATAAACATTATATATTTTCTATAATAATATTTGTTTGGTATTGTACCGATTTTCCTGGTTTTTTCCATATGTTGAGAAAACTCTTGGGAAAATCAAAATATGACCTTCTTAAAGTACCTACCCAGTCAGATTTCCTTTCAAAAAAAAAATATTATTATTGTAAATCGGAGCAGAATTGCTGGTAAAAAACTTTTCCACAGAAAAAAAAAATCGTAATATTTTACTAGTATATTTTGTACATTTTCCCATTTTCCTCAGTTTTTTCGATTTTCCACATTTGATGAGAAAACTCTTGAGAAATTCTAAATGCCCTCCCTAAAGTACCACCCCAAGAAAATATACTTTCAGAAAAGAGTCAATATCGTATATATTGATGTAAGCTTTCTGATAGAAAAAGTGTTTACATAAAAAAAAAAATAAACTTTTTTGTAAAACCAAAACATTCTGCGCTTAAAAAAATTACATTTATTACTGTCGTCCTTTTAAAATGTGTACCCAATACGTTTAGATAGTACCCATTAGAGGTATTATTTGAGTATAATATAGGTACTATATAACGGCTGTGACGAGGAATGATTTCCGAAAAACGTTGCGGCCACGATGAAAACACACAAAACACGTCCTAAAGGCAGACTACGGTCGTCCCTATATATTTTCATATACATTAACCTCCCCTTTTAAACCACCACTGTGGTTTCGGTTACAGTGCGCCACTCGACGACCGCATATAATGTTATATACGCGTAATAATATATTGCACGGTATACAATTGCCGGTTAACAACTCGCGTATTTTAGTGGACGAACGTTCGCATTTGTAGGTGGTAGCAGAATTATTTCACCATTTAACGATGTGAAAAACCAAAAACTATACCACACGATCACGGGGTCGGCCACTAACGCCGCCGTTTCGCCTTGTTGGGCACAATGCCTATTTCATCATATCGTATATTTTAATGGTAGACGGAAAATTGATTTAAAACGCCTGATAGTGATGGTCAATACAATTTATTATTATTATTTTTTTTTTTCAAATGAAAAAAATCGCAAAATGTTCGTCATTTTACCGAAAAGATCATCACGCGTGTTCCATATAACTAAAAAAAAGAACTGATGCTGTCGACGGAAGTGACGCTGTTATTGTGTCGATGGGAAGCTAGGACATGAGGATACATCATATTATTATGGAGTAATTAATTTGAATCTGTACGCAACGACAACAACCGTTATTGTACTTACAACAAACGATTATGAGCGGAATCCGTTTAAACATTGGTTTTGAAATGTCGTGATATTTAGGATTTTCATCAAAACGTGAACTTTAAAAGTTTAAGCTTTACGTTCAACTTTTGTTTAGGTTTTTGTCCTCCAAATACAGCTGAATGATTACAGTTCGAAAATATAAACATATATATTTAACATAAATATCTAAATATTGTTTTTTAAATCTATGCGAACGCAATATTATGCTTTGTATTATTATTACTAAAAGTTGTATTACCAACACCATTATAAATCAAATATAACTTGTTTTGTGTATTATTGTTATCAAATTTCTTTCCGTAAAAAATTCTATAAAAATCTATCAGCCAAAAATACTTTATATTTTACATTTGTTATAAAAACATTTTTTTAAACTTAGATTCAAATATTAGATTCCCGGTGTCGCTGAAGAATGTATTGGTTTTACAGAAATGTTTATTATTATATTTTTTTTTTTATATTATACAAAAATTCTACCAGAAATCTTGCTCCTATGTATAAGATTTAGGGTCTTTTCTGAAAGGATATTTTCTTAGGGTAGTAATTTTTTGATTTACTTAGGAATTATCTCATCAAATGTGAAAAACCGAAAAAAAACATAGGAAAAACGGGAAAATGTACGAATATTTCAGTAAAAAATATGATTTTTTTTTCTGTGGACAACATTTTTACCAGAATAGAATTTTTTCTGAAAGAAAATGTCACTATAAAGTTACTTAAAAGAGGTAATTTGTTTGATTTTCTCAGGAGTTTTCTTAATATATTGAAGAAACCGGAAAATAAATCGAAAAATCGTAAAATACGTAAGAAAAACGGGAAAATCGGTACAATTTTAATCGAACATTATTAAAAAAAATGTTTAATGCATATATTATTATTTTATCATAAGATGAGTAATATGACATGTATATTGTTGATTTGAAAACCAGGAAAAACGTAGGAAAATCGGGAAAAACGGTACAACATCGAAAAAATATTATTACAGAAAATATATAATGCCTATTTTATTATTTTACCAGAATATAACGTATATATTGTTAACAAAGCGTCACTATCAACTGAATTTCGCTCAAAATCGTTTTTTCGTTAGTAATAGTTTATCGTTACTTACAGATATACATTTAATTTCTTTCTGTATCCTATCTTCTCAACTTCCTACCTACACCTGCACCCAGTGCACCCATGTCCAAAGTATGTCCGTTTTTTTTTAATATGTTCTTATATAAGGTTTCTTATCAGGCTATTTTGTAGCTCTTTAGCTTTCAAAATCTACAGGCAACCACAATTTTCTACAGCTCAATATC